TTTGTGTAACCACAAACCAGTTTTTAAAAAGATTAGGTATACCTATTTAATTTGCAAACATCCTGATAGTATAAGAACAGATGCAAGCAGAATGAGTAATTCTATCAATACTAATAAGATGTTTTTAATATAGTTTATGGATTATGCCATTATATTTGTTCTATTTCCCCCCTCCGTTCCCCTCCACCCTGCACACCCTCTTCCCCACCATTCCCTCCCTTTAGCTCATGCCCATGTGTCACAAGTTCTTTAGCTTCCACATCTCCCATACTATTCTTACCCTCCCCCTATTTTCTACCTACCATCTATGCTACTTATTCTCTGAACCTTCTCCCCACTTCTCCTCCTCCCACTCTCCTATAGCTAACCCTCCATATGATCTCCATTTCTATGGTCTAGCTGCCCTCTTAGTTTGCTTTTGTATTAGGTGTGGTTGTTAATAACTGAGTTTGCTGTCCTTTTACTGTTCATATTTTTTATCTTCTTTTTCTTAGATAAGTCCCTTTAACATTTCATATAATAAGGGTTTGGTGATGATGAACTCCTTGAACTTGACCTTATCTGAAAAGCGCTTTATCTGCCCTTCCATTCTAAATGAAAACTTTGCTGGATAAAGCAATCTTGGATGTAGGTCTTTGGATTTCATGACTTGGAATACTTCTTTCCAGCCCCTTCTTGCCTGTAAGGTCCCTTTTGAGAAATCAGCTGACAATCTGATGGGAACTCCTTTGTAGGTGACTGTCCCCTTATCTCTTGCTGCTTCTACAATTCTCTCCTTCATTTTAATCTTGGCTCATGTAATTATGATGTGCCTTGGTGTGTTCCCCTTTGGGTCTACCTTCTTTGAGATTCTCCGAGCTTCCTGGACTTCCTGGAAGTCTATTTCCTTTGCCAGATTGGGGAAGTTCTCCTTCATTATTTGTTCAAATAAGTTTTCCACTTGTTGCTGTTCCTCTTCCCCTTCTGGTACCCCTATAATTCGGGTGTTGGAACGTTTAAAGATGTCTTGGAGGTTCCTAAGCCTCTCCTCATTTTTTTGAATTCTTGTTTTTTCATTCTTTTCTGGTTGGTTGTTTCTTTCTTCCTTCTGGTCCATTCGACTGATCTGAGTCTCAGTTTTGTTTCCATCATTATTGGTTCCCTGTGCATTTTGCTTCATTTCACTTAGCCTTCATTTTTTCATCTAATTTGCGACCAAAATCAAACAGTTCTGTGAGCATCTTGATCACCAATGTTTTGAACTGTGCATCTGATAGGTTGTCTATCTCTTGGTTGCTTAGAAATATTGGCTCTGGGGCTTTGAGTCGTTCTTCTTGAGCCATAATGTTTCGGTCTGTTCGCGCCTGTTAGGTATGAGGGGCGGAGCCTTAGGTGTTCACCAGGGCTGGTCAACCCAGTTGCTGTATGTGGGGGCAGGGTCAGAGAAGGAGCAATGGTACCTGTTCAGCTCTCTCTCAAATTTTGGTCCCCTCTGCTGCTTCCCACAAGCAAATTGGGCCCTTCTGGTGCTGGTTCCTGAGTGGGTGGGCTTGTGTACATTCTAGGACCCTGTGGGTCTCTCCAACAAACTCTCCTGTGAGACTGAGAGCCTCTCCTGGCACCTCAACCCCTGCAAGTTTTTCCAGTCAGTGCTTTTAGGCTTTAATTCCTGTCGCTGGGGCCCTGGGTTGCGAGGTCTGTCTCACTGTACATTTTTTTGTTTGGTTTATCTGCGTGTGAATATGTGACCATGGTCAGCCAGCCGCCTTGCGCCCTCACTGGGTCTGCCCATTGCCACCCCATGCCTGGGATCTGCCAACTGTCACCTGTGCACCTGGGTTGGTCTGGCCGCTTTTTCCTGCCTCGACCCCTCTCTGCCAGCCTCCAACCCTGCCCCTCTTACTGATCTGGATGAATGGTTCACTGTTGTTGGACTTCAGTACAGTTCAATTTTCTGTTTGTTTTGGTTGTGTTTTGTTTCTAAATCTTTGTTGTCCTTAAATTTGGTTGTGCAAGGAGGTACAGTATTTCCACCTATGCCTCTATCTTGGCCGGAAGTCTCTAAGATGTGTGTTTTTAATGCTTTATCATATAATAATATATGGGATGGACTACATTGTATAGACAGACAACTGGCAATAAAAAGTCACACTTTCAAAAACTATGAGCACAGATAGGCACTTCCTGATTTTCTGAATATAAGACTTGTTTGAAAGAAATACAAATTGCTAACTACATATCATAAAAGCAGACAAAGAAACCTAACTGGTAGGAAATTGGCACATGTGAAAAAGTAAAAAATAAATTTGCCAAGTGTCTAAATGTTTTCTAAAAACATCACATTACAGATGTATGTCCTGGTTTTTCAAATCTCTACCCTATCAAGCTTTTACTACCCAAGACAATATTTAAAAAGTAAAGTCCATAAAAATCCTTTGACGGGAGATAAAATACCAACATTTACTGGAATACTCTTATTTCATTCAATCTTTTTTAAATTTCTGAAATTAAGTAAATCGCTAATGCATGGTCAAATTTATACAAACACTGATAAAAACTAAAATCTATATATTTATTAATAAAAGAAGCATATGTGGCACACTAAAGCACAATTAACTAGAATCCAATTAAATCCTAAAATTATTAAAAGTGTGTGCTTTTCAGCCTTGCCCTTACAAGCACGTAATCACACTTACATACACACAGAGAAAGAAAAAAATTAAAACCAATATGAGAAAGTAAGATCTTACTACTTTAAGCAAATTAAATCACAAATCAGGGTATGGATTATCCAGTCCCCCATACAGTATTGTTCAATGAGCATATTCAAAGTTCCTAAGACACTACAAGATCCCCAATAAAATCCTCAGTTTGGTTGTGATTAAAACATTATACTCAGCAACAAAACAGTTACAATGACTTACAGCAAGAGCGTCAATAAAAAGTTAAACTTCATTTAGCCAAAATATGCCAACAGCCAAAATAAATTCCTTCACCTATTCTTTGAAAACTTCAATTAATCAGGGCCCTTTCATGCTCTGATGCCCTAATTTTTGCACAATGAAGGAGGAAAACAGCTGTATAAAGTAGAGTGGGTTGTGGGTCTGATGCTTATTCAAGTATACTCTTAATGGTATGTTCACTTTCGAAAAATTTCACATTCTGCAAAATGGCAGGCTAAAATAACAGGGCTAAGGAGAAAGTAGATTTGGGACAGACCACTGGAAAACTATACAACTTTGTCACCACAGTACTGACAAAAACATTAACTGGTTCCTGGGAAGGTAACCTAGGCTGCCCAGGCAAGTAGATTAACTTGGCTGGAGGCTGCCACAAGGATTTAAAATTAAAAAAAAAAAAAAGCATCAAAACAAGGTTGGGAGATGCTTGATCAATAAAAGTGGAACTCTGGACCAAAGGGGCTATTTGTTCAGTGGGCTACCATTACTAGAGAGACACACAAAACAGACAGGTAAATATATGGGAGGAAAACTCCAGGTACAAGGACTCATACTTATTATTCTCCGATTGGAGCTAAAAGTGTTCATGTTGGAAGTGCCACGGCCAAGTTTAGGGCTATTTCCTTTCCCCTGTAAGTTATAACATCACTTCTCCAACCCTATTACTATGATTTTCCTTGCCCAGGAAAAAACATCACAAATGAAGCAATGTAATTTTTGTGTTCAAATGACATAATTCTCTAATTTCTAACATGTGTGAGTAAATCCACATTATAGAAATAAAGATTGTACTCTAAATTATATGTTTACAAAGTAAGGCTAGGTATCCTTTTATGCTACACTTTCTTTGGCCATTTTTCTTCTGGGTATTTCCCTTTTCTTTTTGATTCACATGAGTTTCATAAATTACAAAATTAGCAATTTGTCAAATGTGTAACAAAATCTTTTTCCACTTGATCACTTAATCTTATACTGGATTTGAAGGGTTTAGGAAGAAAAGGGTTTAGGAAGGGTTTTTTAATGGTTTAAATTTATATGTTAATGAATTCTTCTTTTCTGGTTCCTGAAATTTAACACCTCCCTTACACATTACCCATTCTAGTGTTATAAATAAATTTATACCTATTTTCTTCAGCTACATTTGTTTTATTTTTTACATTTGTCTTTGATTTACCTGAAATTGTAGCATGAAGTTGGAAGTCGAGGTTCAGTCTGATTTTTTTATCTACAATTTGCTATTAGCTATTAACTACAGTTCCACCTAGTTTTCCCTGCTGAGTTGAAGTGCCATCTTTATCATCATACAAAATATCAAATATATGTACATTGACCCTCTTTTGTATTATTCTATGTGGTTACAGGCTATGACAAAAAATATATAAGATAAAGAAATGCTAGAAACACTTTAATTAAAATAGTACTGAAAAGTATTGCTTTAAAAGGTGCTACAGCTTCCTAGTATATTTTAATATTGGATGACTCTTTCCCTCCCCAAATCATCTTTTTCAGAAATTTTACCATGTACATACATAAGAAATTAAATTATGATTCCTACCAAAAAGAAAGGAAAAAATCTTAAAGCAGGCTAAAAGGAAAATTGAGGTGTTCTTTTGAAATCAAGGGCCCATAAGACTATACCGTTTGATACACTTACGTTGCTTCTGATAACCATTTTATAATCAATGAAGAATAAATATTAAAAAGTGTGGCCAAGTGAGCTACAAACTAAGATTAGTGATACTTTCAATCAAAAAAAGCAACAAACCTGGATATTTGGATTTCAAAGAACAAAGACTGAATAATTAAATGTTATGCTGCTACATTTTTCCAGAAATAATCTTTGTGTCCTACAAAAGTTTATCTAAAGGCTTAATGTGCTGGTAATTAGGCTGCTTTCATTCCATAAAAGTCTATGAACATCTTTTTTTAATGTTTTTCTTTACTCTAATTTCATAAAAGTATAATAAATGAAATTAAAACTATATTTAGGCAAAGGGATGTAAGAGCAGACCCTATGTACAGTGTCTTACAATTCTGCCAGTAATGTTTCCAAGTACTTACTTATTAAGCAGTGTATGCTATGGGAGTAACGAGAATTGTCTGGGATGGTGAAGCTGCCATCACAGATAGCAACCTGACTCTCACCAAAGGGAAGCATGAAGAAACAAAGTTTATACAGTAAACATCCCAGTGCCTGTAAAATAAAGAAACATAAATATCATCAGGCCTCAAGCAATCAACTTAACCACAAGACATAAAAATAGCACTAACCCAAAAACTAAATTTGTTATTTAAAAAACCAATGTTTCTACACAAAATCAATCTTTTCACAAATCATTTGCTTAATGTGCTTAGTAGTTGAGAAAACATTTAACTGTATCATCTCCATATTTTTCTATCACATCTGTGGCCAGCTGGCTAAATAAATGCTATCATAGAACTCTAGATCACAAATGAGTTAACAAACTAGAAGTGGTTGGTCCCTTTTAGAGAAAAAATATACTTTCATTTCTTCCACAAGGAAAATATGTATTTAGTATATAACTAGCATATAACTAACAAAGTAAACACCAGGCTCCTTCTAGCAGCATTTTAAATAAATTTACTATAAAACACGTTTTAAAATCCAGGGATCCAAATATAAGAGTTAGCCATAGCCAGCACAGTTAAATTTACGAAATTTACCATCAATACATTTTTAACAGTAATTCTCTAAACACATGTCATTATTTATTTCATACTATACAACAGTGCTAAGTCTCTACTTTTGTATATAACCCTATGACTTTTATTCTATAATTTACTAATCATATTTACACCTGGGTAATCTATATTAAAATACAAAAAGGATAGGCTCTGTCTGCTTCACAGGCATAGCTTACCAGACATCACAGCACCAATAAATACAGTTGCTGACAACGAAGACAAAACTCCCTAAGAAACAAATGTCTAGCTAAGCTGCTAACGCTCAAGCTCAAACCAGAGAGTTAGCAATAAAATGTAATTTTCAGGTCAAGAAATCATTATGTTGTCACAAAAAGTGCCATCTACAAGCCTTAACAGTATAAGGAGTACTTCTAATTCTGAACACATTGTATAAAATTATATAGTTAGTAAACAATTATATCAACAATACTAAATTTTACCTATCTAAAAATCAGCAAATCGTCTTTGTTGAATTTCCTCCAAGTATCAACTTAACAAACACACTAACAAATACTCTTAAGTTTTACAATTACTATAAAGATCACAATATACAAACACCTGTGTGAGTTCAATATTATTAATTTACTAAACATAAGTTTCAATATTTAACAGTTTTCTAATGAAAAACTTAAAGGCTCTAGAAATTTCAATATATCCATTGAAAGATATTACAGGGTGGGTTGTTTATTATGATTAATAAAACTGTTAAGATTCTAAATAAAAATAACCAGTTCAATTTGGCTTAAAACAATTTATGATGCTTTTTTCTATAAATTTCAGCATGTATGCTATAAACTGAGCATAAGGCTCCCTTGACAACACTAAAAAATACTATGAATAGGGTATATCTGCATTAAATTACACCACTCTCCAACTCAGATGACAATTTAGGCAAAAGAGGTCTGCATTTTAGCCAGTTTTATCTCGTCAGTCAAACCTTTAGTAGTGTCTTGTGTTACAGTAAATATTGTGGGAGTTCCCAGATAACAATTTTAGACAGCAATGTACTTAAAAAACATAAATCTAAAATACTCTGCTGCACACAGTATGAACACAATGAGGTGTCCTAGTTTTTTCACACCAAAGGCATTATTTATTATTTCCCTTTTTATCCACTTGATATAATGAGAATTGTTCCAAAACAGGAGGGAACGAATGACCTGATTTTGGAGGCTACCACAACCTCCATTTCCCTCATTAGAAAGCAACAGGACACCTCTCTCACCTACAGTGCTGTAGCATACTTCTGTTCCACCTGAGCTAAGACAAGCATGAAAATGACATCATGCACATTGAACTTCTATCTCTGTCACGCACATACACATAGATTCTGTTTTCCGATTATCTTTCTTGCTTATTTTTTATCTTTGAGTATTTCTAACCTCAAAACAATACTCAATTAGTGGTTACAGAATTACTACTTCATATACTAATCTACAGACGGTATAAATTTTAAACTTTTCACTGAAAACGTAGTTTGTAGCCTGACACACACACTAAGTCTGGTTGAAAATGAACAACAACAACAAAAAGATTCCCTCTCCTTTTTGTTAATATATGGGGTAAAAAAAAAGAGAGTAACTTCTTTTTAAATCAACCCTTGATGATTTCAAAACGGTAGTTGAGCTACGATGTCCGCTGTTTCTTCTGCTGTTGAAATACTCTTTTAGGTAAAACAGATTTCAGCGGCAGTCACAAAATTAGGCCAGAACAAACTTCCACAGTCGCTTCCTCTAGTATTTTCATTTTATCAATTAAGAGCCAATTGAGATCCTGGCCAGGTCACTCTCCTGGTTACAGCATCATCCCAATATGCCACTCTAGGTTATGACTTTGATCTCCAGTTAGGGCACATATAAGAATCAATAAATGAAGGCATAAATCAGTAGAACAAATCAATGTCTGCCTCTCCCGACACTTCTTTCTCTCTCTCATCAATAAATTTTTTTAAAAGATCCAACTGAATTTGCTTTCTACCTTATACTATAACCCATTCAGTGAGTCAAATGTTAATGTGAAAAAAGCAAACTGAATTTGAGTTATATGAACCAGTGATCTACACTCAGCATCAAGTTAAACCAAACTTTTATTCATGGGTTGAATCAATTATGTATATGGTTAAAAATTCAACTACAACAAGATTTAAGAACCACTGTTTGGTGAAAAAATATATATTATGTAGATAAGATAAAAAGATGCTAAAGATATTTTTTCTTTTTATTACCTTGCAAGAATATCTGGATATCCCAACCCCAATAGGAAGAGGCCAGAAGAAGAAAACCAAGGAGATATTCATTTGGTTTCACACATTATGTTTGAGTACATTCTGAATATTACATTTTAAAAACAAAATAAACATGACTTTTCTTGTAAACTCTACAACTATTTCCAAAGGAATTTTTTCCACCATCCCTAACAGATTTACTAGTGGTAGATACAAGGAGAGAGCCCAATAAAACTGGAATTGATTTATAAAAAATTGTGTATTTCTTCTTACATATTTAAACCTTAGTCACCTCCATTTGATGCAATATACCTATTAGACATTTCTTCACTGCTCAGAACAGTTTTTGAACTCATTGATTTTGATGCCTTTTAGTGCTTCTGCTGTTTTTTATTTCATCTCTTCAACACTGGCAAAACATTTCCCTTTGAGGACTTTCTTCATCAGGGAAACAAAAAAAAATTTTGCTTGGGGCAAGATGGGGAGAATAGTAAGGGTGGGGCACACGAGTCATGCTGTTTTTGGTCAAACCTGCTGAACACTCAGCACAGTGTGCGCAGGTGTGCTCATAAATCACCCATCATGAAATGGGCAAATGCATTGAAAGAGTCTTCAAAAAAAAAATCACTGAAGCCAAATGCAGCCTCTCACAACAATGCCAGCTGGCACACTGATACAGATGAGTTGTTAGATACTCAATTAGTGGGGCTGGCTGTACTACAGGCAGCCCACCCTCCAGAAGATAATTCTGGCTTTTTTGGGTCCCCCTCATATTGCTAAATACTAGCTGAATTTACATTTAAAATACTTTCCTGCTAGTCTATTAAATATAGCCAAAACATAGCTTACTTATGAAACGAGTTCTAAAGAGGTATTGACATTCTAACAAAGTTTAATTATATAGAAATATTATCTATCTTCATAATTCAATCCACATGTTACATAATAAAAACACCTCAATATATACGTTAGTTGGCATGTTTATAATTAGAAAAAGTTTTAATCATGTTAACTTTCTAAAATACTCCAGAGAATTATAAGTGTAATTACTTAAGAGTTATGCCCAGTATTTCCATAAAGTGATCAATCAAAATTCCACTCAATCAAAAAATGTTAACACATTTATAATTTAAACTCTTAAAAATATCATGGCAAAAAGTTATATTATTTAGTCCTTTATTTGCTTTTTTATACCTAAGCTTGCCAGTTCAGGATTAAGAAGATAACATATTCTAGTCTTTTTCGTCTTCTGAATAGAAGTTCTACATATACCACTCTTCTACTTATTAGGAAACACCTTTTGGGGGACAGCAGGCAAATAATCAAGTGAACTCATTTGTTTAAATTTGGTTAAAGAAAATGTCAACCTTTCTTGGCCTTACCCAGATATCAGCCTTGGTGGTGATGGGTTTCCCTCCATAAAGGTTGATCATTTCAGGGGCTCTGTATGACAAAGTTGTATACCTGGCAGTAAATAAGTAAAATGGAGTGGAGATATATATATGTATATGTATATGTATATATATATATATATGTATATATGTATTTTTAAAAGACAGACACTACATTGATTCTACACAAAATACTGCAAAAAACTTTTCAATTCAATAACATTAGATAAAAATATTATTTTTAAGTCATTAAAAGCCCATCAAGAATTAAACAATACAAAGCATGTATGTACACATTTATTCAACAAGTGCAGTAGTATCTCTAATGATAAAAAAAATTACTTCTCTTTAGTATAAAAATCTTAAATAAAGACAATGTATTAGAAACATAGTTTTCCCTGAATTTCTTATTTGAAATAATATAGTTTAACTATTAAAATATCCTCATCAAAATATTTCAGTCAATTCAAAAGTAAAACTTGCATTCTTTCAAAAAATTAATTTATACGTTTATTAAGGAGTTTGTTTCTATGGACTCTAACATACTTCCTTGCTCATGGTAGTAAATCTCCTTTAGGTTTGTTTTTATAATTATTGTTTTAAAAATAAGGCAAGTGTCATCATTCTAACTACATTAATTAAGTACAATTCTAATATTCACCATCATTATAAATTACATAATTGGAATTATAAGACACTGTGAAAATTTACCAACATAAAAATCCCAAATACATTATGGACAGAGTATTTTAATGAAGCAGAGCTCAATTTCACGGTAGAAATTTACCAAAGTAAGGAAGAACTTCCTATATCATGGAATAATTTAAAATTCATTTCGAGTGTTAACATACTTTACTTTACATAAAGTATCTTAAAAGTCCACAATCTTACTTCTTCCATGACTCTGACTGGTGGGACATGCTGAATGACACTACTAGAGGAGCAACCTAAGGAGCCAGAACACGAACTGTATGCAGGCGGGACTTTTGTTCACAGCTCTCCTGCAGCACCAACAACAGTGTCTACTACACTGTAGTCCCTATGTAATAAACACCTGTTACTGAATAAATGGCTAGGCCATTAACTCTTTAATTGAGCCACAAAGCACAAGAACACCCTCATAGCCTACATTCACTACTAATGCAAAATTCTACTGAACCTTAACTATACACTTCAGATCTCTGAAACAAGATATAACACCTAGCTTGAGTATAACTTTATAGCAGGCATTATATATAACAATCCAATCATTTTTAAGAATTAGCCTCAATCCCAGGAAGCAAGTTCAATAATTTATTGTTAAGTTTTCGAGACATTTATGTTTACTAAAGCATTTGTTTTTATGGAATCTAACATAATCATCATAAGCTAAGTTCCCTGAGTAGAAATTTGTAGTCAAGAAATCCACAGTGAGACAAAAAACTGTACTTGAAAAATAACTAAATAAAATTAATTAAAAAAAAAAAAAGAAATCCACAGTGTTATAATAAATGAGCCAAAGTCTACTTGGCTCATTTCAAAATGTATCATCTCTACTTGAGCAATTTCAAAATATAAATTGCAATTCAAATAAAGAGCTCCTACAGAGTCTTAAAGAATCGAGAATTTGTGAAGTGAAGAGGACAACTTAGAAAAGGCAACTACTTAGAAATTCCTATTCTGACAGATATTTCTGCATTCTGTATCATTCTATTAAAGTAATCTAAGCTTTATAAACAGTTCCATTTTCTAAAACAGAAGAGTCACAGAAAAATCCTTACAGGTAATCTAGCAGGTAATCTTTACAGGTAACCATGGAAAGTACAAGATTTAAAAACATAAAGCAGATATGACTTATTTTTCTACCAGAGAGCTTTCTAGAACACTACTAACGTTAACACCGTTTCAGCATAGTTTTCAATGCATACAGAAATAAACTTAATATTAAATGTAATGTAAAAGTTTAAATGTTTTCAAGTAATTTTCCTAACAAGACAAATCCTCAGTATTAGTAAAAAAGAGCTTAAATAAAAAAACTCAGTAATTACTGAAAATTCCCTTTAATAATTTCACTAATTACTATAGCTTATTTAACAACTTTCTTAATAAATGTGTTTACAATGTAAATGAAAAACTTTGTAACCGTGGTAAAATGTGTTTCCTATCAAACTAGATCAGATATAAAGGAATTAATGTCTATGGCATAAAAATATTTTGAAGAAATCTATGAATGGAATATCTACAATATGTATTAGTAAAGTTGATCACAGGCCCAAGTTAACTAAAATTCCCTAAGAAAACGCAGTAAAGATGAACACTTACTTTTTAATTTCTTCTTCTACCACATTAACTCCATCTTTTTGAGGATTAAGAAATTTGTTAGTGGCACTGCCAAAATCACAAAGTACGTAGTTTCCACCATCATTCAACAAAATATTTTCCACCTTAAGAGAAGAAAACCAATTAACTGGTACTATTTTCAATATGAAAATTATCTTCTTACAACCATGACCTTACAAACACTGAAGGATTTGTGACACATATATATACAAATATACATGTCATATACATACTTGTATACATGGTACCTCAAATTAGGAGGAAGGTCAAATGAACCAAATAAAAAACATACTCTATTATCTCTACTGCTTCTCTAAGGACACAGAAGTGTTTCTCTAATCCCAAGATCATCTGTGTAGGGAACAAAAACCCCTAAATCCTCTCTGAAAGTGCTTCAGGGAAAGAAAAGAACTTGCAGCAGTCAGAATCTATACTGTACCTCCATTTGTCCCCATTTCTGACACTTCATTTTATCTGTAGGCAAGCAATAACAAAAACCATTAAAATTCGACTTCTGACTCCTAATACCATTTTTATCTAAAATACTGCACTAAAAAAGACTTGACTTAATGTCTCAACTTGGAGATTAGAGTTGTAGTCACTTCAGTAAACAAATTCATGCAGCTTCTAGAACAAGAGAGTATGTATTCAGAGCCCAGCTCTGCTACTCACTAGCATGCATACCTCTGGATAATCTACTTAACCACTCTGTGCTTTAGTTTCCAAATCTACAAAATGGGGAAGGTAGCATCTATTACTGTAAAAATTAAATTAACTAAAACACGTAGAGTGCTTACTTAGAACAGTGCCTGGAATAAGGTAAGCACTCAATAAACGATACTATTTTTATTACATTTTTCCACAATATTTTTATTTTTATAACACAGTCTTGGACAGTAATTCAATTGCTCTCAACTTTATCAAAATACTTACATTACTGTTCATCATTTTTCCCCTAGATTTCATATTAGTCTACCACATAAAAGATTTATACAAAATAAAGATTTGTACAAGAAATCTGAAACAATTTTGCTTAAATTTACACACAAAAAAGCAATAAGCATATGTAATATGGCCTGTACAAAATTATGCAGTTCTATGTCTTTTCTGGTTTTAAATTATTAAGCCTCACCTGAAAATATCTGTATGAAAAAAGTTAATTATTTGCCCTGGCTGGTGTGTCTCAGTGGATTGAGTGATGGCCTGTGAATCAAAGCATTACCAGTTCGATTCCCAGTCAGGGCACATGCCTGGGTTGTGGGCCAGGTCTCCAGTAGGGGGCGAGTGAGAGGCAACCATACCTTCATGTTTCTCTCCCTCTCTTTCTCCCTCCCTTACCCTCTGTCTAAAAATAAATAAATAAAATGTTAAGAAAAAAATAGTTGATGATTTTTAGAAAATTTTAATAATCTAAAAAAAAATCATGCCAAATTATTAGGGAAAAGTAAAAGCCGCATATTCAAAATAACTAAAATAAACTATATAGTTGCCCAAATTAAGGGACGAAGGTCTGCAGTGATGCATTTCAACCCTGTCTTCACTTGTATCCTTTTACCACAGGTTCCCTGAATGACGTTTTCATGGTTACAACCTACATTCTAAATAAGATCTTCTATTCTCTTGTATCTTAAAGAGTGTTTTATTATTACCTTTCATAAATTTTGTGTAACCAGTCAGAATTAGGATTTTCATTCATTCATTACATATTAATTATTGAAAACACACTATGTACCAGGCACTGTTCTAAATGCTTGAATACATTGCACAAAAAAGAAAAATCCTTGTACACATGGAGCTTATATTTTAGTGGAAGAGGAAAGAAAATAAACAGTAGGCCTAATACTTAAGCAAATTATATAGTATCTTAGACAATGACAAGTGATAATAAAAGGTAGAGCAAGTGGGAAAGAAGAGTGTTAGGTTGCAACTATAAACGAGGCAGTACAAGATAGAACTCACTAAGAAGGTGAAATCTCCATAAACTTGAAGCAGGGAAAGGGTAGTATTTGTGGGTATCAAAGACGACACCTATAGTTTTGTTATTGTTATTATTTTAATCCTTACTCGAGGAGATATGTTTATTCATTTTAGAGAGAGAAAGGAAGGGAGAAGGGGAGAGAGAGACATGGGTCAGCTGTACCCCGACCGGGGATCAAGCCCACAACCCTTGCTGCATAGGACAATGCTCCAACAAACTGAGCCACCCAGCTAGGGCGATACCTATAGTTTTACAGGATATATGTACTGATATCTCTAGCAATATGACAATGCACAGGACAATGCTCCAACAAACTGAGCCACCCAGCTAGGGCGACACCTATAGTTTTACAGGATATATGTACTGATATCTCTAGCAATATGACAATGCACAGGACAATGCTCCAACAAACTGAGCCACCCAGCTAGGGCGACACCTATAGTTTTACAGGATATATGTACTGATATCTCTAGCAATATGACAATGCACAGGACAATGCTCCAACAAACTGAGCCACCCAGCTAGGGCGACACCTATAGTTTTACGGGATATGTGTACTGATATCTCTAGCAATATGACACCAGGAATGTTTAATCCCTTTGGAGGACTTCAGAGTGCACTAACAGGTAACATAAAGTGATCTTAAAGATAATCACCACCAAATTCTACAGCCAGTCATTAGATGGCCTCAGGAAATGTGGCAGGAAACATGGACCAATGTCAGTGCTGGTGATAAAAACTGGTTTAGATGAAAATAGCCAAAGAAAATTTTAACTTGAAAGTAAAAAATGCATTAATCCATAAGCAGTCTAAAGTTCGTACCTTCAGGTCCCGATGAATTATTGGAGTCTGACACTGATGTAACCTTGCAACAGCTTCACAGGTATCGCAGAATATCTGTAACACTTCCGGTTCCGTAAAACCTGTCTGCAGCTTCTTATTCATCTGATTCACTACTTGCCCAGCTAACCGAAAAAGTAGTTTTGAGAGGACATATTTTTAATAAATGCAGTCTATCACAAAAAAATTCAGAAATGCATTATGGTCTCAGGTACTGGGAAATTGGCTTTTTCATAATTCCCCTAATAAGGATTCTTATTATACCATTAAGTACTGATTCAATGAAATACATTTTTTCACATTTTTCATTTTAACATGAGAAGATCTTAGATAGATGATGTCTTGCTAAGGCTATTGCTTTTTTTTTTTAACATTTTTAACATCTATGAAATCAGGGGAGTGTACATTATTGACAGCATCATGGGGCTTTTAAATGTCTATTCCACTCTGTGCTAGTCATTGGGTAAACAATGATAAGCCCCCAAAAAGTTTCTATTATCATAGAATTTATAGTCTAAACGCAGAGATAAACATTAAACAAACTCACAAACAAAACATCATAATTATGCACAGTGAGAATAATAGGAGAGAAACCTGTATTTAAATTGGTGAAGGAAGGGGAAGAGAGGGTATCAGATAAGACCTAAGGAAGTGATATTTATGTTGAGAACTAAGAAGGCAGGGGTTAACCAGGAAGAGATTTGGAACAAGAGCAAGATAGTCATAGGAGGCGGCAATTACAAAAGCACCCCGTTGGGAAGGAGCTTAATGATTTCCAATAGCTTAAAGAAAGCCAATGTATATGTGGTCTAGAAAGCAGAGAAGAGAGTAAGGTGAGATGACTATGACAAGGCAGATAGCAATCAGAAATACTTAACACCGTAACTTAAGAACCAAGGAAACACAGAACATGACTTTTCAAACATTTTCCTGGATTGGGGGAAAAGGCAATCACAAGAGTGGAAATGGAGAGATGGGTCAAGGACCTAATACTCTAAACCAGGTAAGGGATACTAAAATCAAATAGCCACACAAGAGCCCTGAGAGACAGTGTAATGATGGAAATTGTTAATTATTCAAAAGTTAACAATTGTTGTATTTTAAGAATGCAAGTAAATATGTGGCTCTTTCAGAAACCATTCTAATAAAAATCAATTTCAGGAATTTAAAAAGGCAAGATAATACTAACTTGAAACCTTCTTTTAAACAGGGTTGAACAAAATAAATGTTTGCTACTTTGAAATCCGTCAGAATGTGCATGCACACCTGTTTCTTTTATCACTGTCTAAACAGCATTCTCGTGTATTTTCTGAAACGGTTGGGTTTTTTTCTTAGAATTTTAGAGCAAAAAGAACATGGATTTTCACCTATCAATCTCCAGCTCTCAGAAAACTCAGGTCTACTTGGCTGTAATTTGTTCAAAGCATCTCTGAAGAGTAAGGCACCTGACCAGGCAAGCAGTTTCTTTCATCCTCTTTGTCAGACATCCTGACTTTGACCCCAAATTAAACAAGATGAAAAATGTTTTCTTGGTATTCATTTACATTCTTGGAATACCATTTCAAAGCTAAAGAAATCAAAACCTTAAACTCATTCCACCTATTCTAAAGGTTCGATATTGTAGTTAGTAGAATAAATTTTAAACAAATGTTAACCCTCTTGCTTCCATTCAGAGATCTTTGAGTTGGAAACCTTGGATGAAAAAATTCAGGTCCCCCCCAAAAGCTAAAAGCAGTATTTGAGCTGCATTTCAAATGTAGACACACACACACACAAAATTTTATTATTCAAAATCGAGCTCTTCTAAAATTACATTAAAGTAAGGTTATTCTAATGAAAACATTAAGAAATATATATTGAAGGTCTTTTAAAACAAGATACATATAGCTCTCAAATCTTCACATATTTTTCAAACAGATATCATTTCCTAAACAAAAGCTTTTATTCTCTGCCAATTTCATCACTAAAAAAGTCAACATTTTCCTAACCTCTTACAGTGGTCATCCAACAACCTTCTATGTCATTATACAACAGAATAAGACCGAAGTGGCAGGCCTTAAGACCCTCACATGCTCCACTGCCCTCTCATGTTCCTACCATGTCCATGTGAAACAGCTTGCTAGTGCCCCGAAGAGGGCAAGGAATGTGTGAAACCAGTTCCAGCAAACCCACCGGCACATGAGCAAGCCTAGCCAAAATGAATGACGTCACCCCAACAAGTTCAATATAGAACAGCTGACCCACTGATGCACAAGCAATAATACCTGTTATGTTATGCTACTGAGTTTTATAATGTTTTATTATCAAGCAAAAGCTAACAGATATATTATTCATAAGAATTTCTGTAGAACACCTCCTACAAATAAAAGCTCTTTTCATAAAATACAAATATATTCCAAATACCAACTATGATTCCTGAAAGTTTGGTACCTAAAGCACATAATCTCTCTTTAACCTATACCTCAGAACATTAGCAAATTAGGCAGTGCCACACCATGAGCCTGCAGATACCTAACATTAGACAAAAAATGATTGTAAACATCTGATACCTGAAACCATGGTGAGGTAGAAGGTATTTAACACATTCTTCTACTTTCTATACAGTTTTATCTCTACATAATCAAAACCAATGTACTTGAACTATATACACATAAAACCGATTCCCTCACTGAAGTACTTTCATTCTTCAACAATTTTATGTAAAACAATTAGCTTTAATAGAGGAAGTAAGGGAAGAGCATTAATTTGCCCATTCCCTACCCCTCCAACCCACTGGAAACTTATCTTACTGATTCATCTGAGAAAAGGAACTGATGAGCATGCTCTATTCAGATCCTTTGGATTCCTTCTTTTAATATCTAATTGTCCACTTGGGCACATTCTGATCTGTAGTGCATACAATAAGTTTATCTGGTAAAACATTAAAAATAAAAGTTCTAACACAATGGAGAGGGCATTATAGCAAACAGAAAAAATTACAGAAACAAACAAATGCAAGAAACAGAATAAAAATCTTTTTAGAAGCTGCAACTAATCAGTAGAAAACAAAATACTTGCACCTAAAACAAGAGCAAGTTGTATTTTAACAAAGAACAACATGAAGAGAACAAGAAAGAGTTCCTGAAAATTAAAAATAACAGAACAGAAATACAAATTACTACAGGGGGGTTGAAGGATAAATGTAAGGAATGCTCCCAACACAATTAAAATAAGAAGAAAAAAAAGAAAAAGAAAGAAAAGTGGAAGAGCAATCAATCCAGGAACCTAATATCCTAAAAATTACAAGTCCAAAAAGAGAGAATGGATAAAATGAAAGAGAAAAACTAAGTACCCAGGAAAAGAAAAAAAACTTTCTTTGGTACTTGGTTGTGGGTGAAACCAAAATCACCCACAACCAAGACACATATAACTTAAAGTTTTAGAATGCTGGAGATAAAGGAAAAGATTCAAGAAGTGTCCATGGGAAAAAAAAATAGGTCACACAAAAAAAAGAGGAACCATAGTGCATCCAACTTATAGGGAAAAAATGAAGTAAGGCTTTCAAAATTACAGATCAAAATTATATGTAATCTACAACTCTTTATCCAGCCAAATTAACAAATATAGACATAGAATAAAATTATTTTTATATATGAAAGGTTTCAAAAATGTTTTTCCCCATAAACCCATTATCAGAAAGCTACCAAAAAATGTACTTTGTCAAGGTAGTTATAAAAACAAGTGGGAGGCATCAGTGAAAGGGAGTCTAAGACAAGAGGAAGACAAAGGGAATTCCCAAAATGACAGCTAAACTCTGTTCAAAATTAAACACAGTTAAGCCTCCCAAAAGGATGTTCCTAAGGAAAGAAAAAATGAAACTGATACAATGTTAAAATATTTAAACACATTGCATAAAAATTTACATTGGAGAATGTGGGGAATATACTAATATGTATAAAGAAAATTAAGCAAGTGAAAATTGATATAATTATTAACTCTAAGATAAATAAAAAGAAAATACAATTAGATTATTAAATGTCATAGTTTAATGGCAAATAAAGTAATTTAAATACTGGTTATTAATTCAATCTAAAAAATGAGACTACTACAGTGACAGTAAAATGCTCATCTTTTCTAGAGATACTATCTAAAACATGAAAACAGAAAATGAGCATTATGAAACTTTCAAAAGCCCAGAATCACATATTTCCCCTGACTTTTTAAGTTCCTTCTTTTTCTTTCATACTCTAAAGATCTCACTAAAACTACCAATTCTCTACATGATGCAGTATAGAAATACAGAAGTAAGTATGAGAAGAAATATCTCAAGGATTATGATATGATTTAGCCATAGCTTAACAGATCTGACTTTTTAAAATACATAAATAACTTTGATCAAAATAAAAATTTCATGTAAAACAAAGCTTGTTGATTCAAACCAGATTTTTAGAACTGTTAATTTTTAAAAGCAAAAGAATGCTTTCCTTAAAACAAATTGTCCCCTAAAAACGGAAGTTCATTTGGCTTCCCTTTTAAAACATCTTCTGGATAACAATTAATTAAACTCATCCAGCATTATAATTATGCCCAATTTAATTATATTTAATCCAGCTAAGAATCAGAACAAAAAATACTAGAATTCAGAAAAGTTAGGTAGAGAAAATCCATGTCTTCTCCTTGTCACAATGCTTTACAGGAGAGATATGAATAAGAGAAAACATCTAACTTCTTACACTGTATGAGGCAATAAGCTATACAATGCAACAGACATTATAATATTAACTCATTTAGTTCCCTCTGTCCTCCTTCCTTACAAGACTGAAGTAAGAAAGACCGTATTTTCCCCATCACCACTACCATCATCTTTCTCCTCCAACCTTCAGGAAATGACAAGAGTCTCTGGTATCACAAATAATAATGATAACTGTCTTAAGAGAATCCAAACATAAACCAGGACTCCCTAGAGCCCAAATTGCCAGATACAGTCTGAATTTTTTAAGTTCGCAAGAAAGAGTTTAATTGCCCCCTTCACACATTCAAGTAAAAAAATTTCAGGGAATTTTTTTAAGTTAACATTATTTTTCAGGATATATAAATAATTATTTATTTTAAGGGGGGTGGAAATGGGAGGGAGGTGGGGAGCAAGGGGTGGGGGAGGCTGGGATGGGAGAAATAGACAAAAAAAGTGTACTTGAAAAATAACTAAATAAAATTAAAAAATATATATATATACCACAGTAGATCCTAATAAAATGTGGTTTTCTATCTTCTGATATTTACAAAAGAACTCCAAAATACAAAATAATACAAGTTTATAAAAATTATAGATCAAAATATATCCTCCAAATTTATTATATTTAATATGTTGAAAGGTAACATGGTAGACTAATAGAAAAAATACCTTCTAACACTAATATTGATATATTATGCTCTTCTTGATTGGATTCTAAAAGAACTGGATTGGAAGCATGAAGTGCAAGTGCTCTTTACCTGCTTAGATTTCCTGTTTTAAATCCAACAGCATTTTTCCTTGTCATTTACCTAATTGTATTATCCCTACAGCAACTATGACTAGGTTTAAAATTATTTTTTAACAACTTGGGTTTTGTTGTTTTTTTTTTTAAAGATCTTATTTACTTATTTTTAGAGAGTGGGGAAGGGAGGGAGAAAGAGAATAAGAGAAACATCGATTGGTTACATCTTGCACACTGCCAATCAGTGACCTGGCCCACAACCCAGGCATGTGTCCTGACCAGGAACTGAACTGGTGACCTTCTGGTCTCCAGGAAAATACCCAATCCACTGAGTCACACCAGTCAGGGCAGTTTTAAATAATTTTAACAGCGTGCCTTAATTACACAGATCATTGAAGCTGAGACTGCAATAACTGTCTATAATAAGGTGACACCTAGTAACCCATTTTAAATCTATTATTTTTTAGTATAAAACAAATGCAGAAAAAACTTACCTCGACAATATTCCATTAGGATAAGCACTTCCCATACATTATCACTAATTGAATTAACAGCACAGTCCAGATAGCCCACAATATTTTTGTGTCCAGATAGCTCTTTCTATAAAAAAGAAACAAAATTTTAAGAATCAGAAAAGTACACATTTTAAAGCTCTATCATTACTAATGGTTTGAAGTCTAAATTAATTTTTTTATGAAATTTCAAAAATTAAAACTCAGGCATGAGTATAGAATTGGACATATTTCAAAAAGGTTTTTCCAGTTCCAATGGAAAGTACTTAACATTTGACTGTCATTTTCTGACAAGCAAATTATTCAGTGAATACTTATTTTTAAATTCAACAACAACAAAAAAAGATGGTTCACTCAAAAGTAATAGTCTCCAAAAGTGAGTGTGCAAGACAGCCCTTACGAACTCCAGGACAAAATATTTACTATAGAATATCAGAATTTTTACTATATTTACTTTTATATTAAAAAATATAAGCTTTAATACAGGGGCTGGCAAAAGTAGGTTTACAGTTGTGAGTATAGGAAACACAGAGTTAATTCTTGTATTATTATTTATTAATTATTGTATTTTTCATACAAACTGTAATCCTACTTTTGCCAACCCTTGTATTTATGAAATAACAACTACATTCATTTGCTTGTCTTGCATACAATATACTGCAGTTAACATGTACCTAGTTAAGTGGATTTTTAAATGTATGTACTGTTAATAATATAAAAAATAAACAAGTATTCTAAAAAGATTTCTGTAAAGAAACTATAAAGATAATGCTAATAATACAAGTAATAGGAAATAATGAGAAAATGACAAATCTCACACTTGCGGCTCACAGTAAGAGATAACCTTCAGCACAGATTACTGAGGTTTAAAATAATCATGATCTAATGAGGTTTATGTAAAAATTAAAAAACAATTATCAAGAATACTATTTTAAATAAATTTACATCCACTATCACTAATAAACCTAATTTTATCTGTGTAATATAACTCGAAATTTTGCAGTGGCAGCTGAACATGTCATTAATTCATAAATAAATGTACATAATGGGAGATAGGTTGTCAAAAAAAGCTGGAGGACCACTCCTCTCAAGAGCTGATCTCCCTAAAATAACTTGTTCAAAAGCCTAAGATTTGAGCGTTACTACTGTTGATAATGACTATTACAGGGAACCCCCGCAAAAGGCTAAACTTACAAAAAATTGTATATTGATTCCTCCATGTTTAAACTTCAGTCACCTTCTAAAAACTCTCCATTTGATGCAATATACCTATCGAAACATTTTTTTCCAGTGCTCAAAACAGTCTTTGAACTCATCAATTTGAATACATTTTAGTGCTTCTATTGGTTTTTGTTTCATCTCTTTCTTCCACTTCAGCAAAATGTTTTCATTTGAGGACTTTTTTTCATCAAGGGAGGGATCAGGTGAATAGGGAGGGTATAGGGCACAGGGGTCATGCCATTTTTTATTAAAAACTGCTGAATACTCAGTACAGTCTGGGCAGGTGCACCTGTGAATCATCCATCATGAAATGGGCAAAAGCATTGAAAGAGTATTCAAAAACAATTCACTGAAGCCGAACACAGCCTCTCCCAACAACTCTAGCTGGTATACTGATACGGTTGGGTTCCTAGAATCTACTCACGTACCCAGGGAAGCCTGTACTAAAAGGAGCCCATCCTCCAGAAGATAAAAAGATAATTCCAGTTTCTCTGGCCCCCCTCCTTGTATTTTATGTCTCTAAATTATACACATTCTCCTAACGGAAGAATTATGGCACAAAAATATTATATCTGGTCTCAAGTTAGAGAACTTGGCCTAAGGTTCCCCAGTTATCTTGGGGTAAATCTTTTTACTCTTTATGTTTATAGCCTTACCTTAAAAAAAATAAATTTCAAATCTAAGGAATATGGACAACTAAAGCAGAATTCAGATAAGCCAGACTGTATAAAGGTGCCCATATTCAAACGAAGGGGTCAAAATAGGTGTGATAATAAAGATGTCGATAAAAAATAAGAAATCCCCTTCTTAGCAGTTGGTTAAGTAGAACAGACAGTAATAACAAATATGGGAAACTGAGGATATGGAAAAACTGTAACATTTATATATAAATGTCTAACCATTATTGCTATACATCTAAAATAATACAATATAGAATGTTAAATATAACTGAAAACTGAAAATGAATTGTTTAAAAACTGGAAAATTCATACTTGGTGGTATGAATATAAAATGATTCAGCCGCTGTGGAAAACAGTGTAATGGTTCCTTAAAAAGTTAAACACAAAATTATCATGACTCAGCAATTCCACTCCCAGACATATACCCAACAGAACTAAAACCAGGTACTCAAAGAAAAATGTGTAACACATACATTCATAGCAGCACTATTCACAACAGCCAAAAGGTAGAAAGAGCCCAAATGTTCATCAGTGTTTTTTTAAAAAGTCCAACAACAGATAAACAAATGTGATATACATATATACAGTGGAATATTATTCAGCCATAAAAATGAAGTACATATTACAGTGTCAGTAAACCTCAAAAACATGCTTAGTGAAAGAAGCCAGACAGAAAAGGTCACACAAGGACATGACTCCATTTATATGAATCATTCAAAACAGATAATTCCACAGAGACATAAGGTAGACAGGTGGCTGTGAACAGCTAAATCAAGAGGGGAATGGAATGCGACTGCCTAATGGGAAAAGGGTTTTCTTTTGAAGTGATGAAAAGATTTTAGAACTAGACTGAGGTGGTAGTTGCATAAACATTGTGAATACATTAAATGTCACTGAACTGTTCACCTTAAATGGTTATATTATTGACTGTACCTCAATAAAAAATTTTAAATGTATATGTATATATTAGATCTTGATACACAGTTGATGTAGAGGAAAAAGAGAACAGACAAAAGAGGAGAGGAAGAGTGGCACAAAATTAACAAGAAGCCATCTGGAGCATTGAGAATAAGCAACCCTAGAAAAAAGGGAATCTTCACTTTGTAACTTTATTTTTTTTTTTTTACTGTTTAGTTAACTGAGTTACTGAAATTTTCTTCAATGGCCTATGAAAACATTTTTACATTTCCTAATATGTATTTATTTATTTTTAAAGATTTCATTTCTTTCTTTTGAGAGAGATGAAAAGGGGGGGAGAAAGAGAGAAACATCAATCCGTTGCATCTCACATGCCCCCAACTAGGGACCTGGCCCACAACCCAGGCATGTGCACTAACAGAAAAATCAAACCAGCGACCTTTTGGTTTACAGGTGGGCACTCAATCCACTGAGCCACACCAGCCAGGGGCTAATATTTAAAAAGAATTTTTCTTTTGCTGAAGGATACTTTACATATTGCAGAGTACACCAAATAAACTGAACAACTTTGTAGCATGATTTTAAAAATAAAAAGCAAAACTAAATCTTGTCTGTGACTACAACCACATACAATGATTATACTCAACACTCATGTGAGCGGTAAACATTAAACTCAGGACAGTGGTTTCTTTTTAGATAATTTTCCAAGTTAATTTAATGATGTCCAATGGCTTTCACAGATGTGCATAAAGCAATGAGCAGCATGCTTAAAACCATGCCATAATGCAAAACCAAAGAAAAACACACCAATTTTTTAAACATAATTATGCTTTCACTTACCATAATTTTAATTTCTCTTTTACAAATGCTGAGGTCTGGCAAGTTATTGACATACATTCGCTTCAATGCATGGCGGGATCCACCATGAGTCCGCACCAGGAAAACTGTGGAAAATCCACCTAGAAGGACAAGTAGCAATTAATTAAAAAGAATCAGCCACTACTGCCAAAATCATGTATTGGGTATAAGGTTGATTGTTCTCAACTAATGTCTCAATTTGATTGCTATCAACTTCAACTGGTCTCCCTGACCATGGATCATCGTCCAGCAGCAAGAAATCTTCAGCATGAAACTCCACAAACCACTTTTGACACATTCAATAAGTCACAGCACCTTCTCCACACACTGCACACATCTTTTTTTTTTTTTGCATTTTTACCTTTCTTGAAATAATAAAGCATAATATGCCAAAAATGTGTATTTTCTCCCAGCTTCAATATTAAAATGGCTATATAAAAACTCAGATTTTGTTAAGCTTCTTTAAAAATGCATGCTAATTTGACAACTGTCACAATACAAATCTAACAACATTGTTTTGAATGCAGTAAAAGACAACTAAGCTCTGCTAGAGCCGCCTTACAGAAAAAAACAAAAGAACTTTTTAGCCAAGGCAGTAATCGCAATGAAGAGCATAATCTCAAAGGAAAATCAACTGAGTGTACCCAACATAAAAATAAGAACATTCAGCAACTAATAGATTAGACCTAAACCCATAACACTGGCTTCCTATGCCATCATGAAGTAGCACTTAGAGGATAACATGCTTCTCAAATGAATATGCATGTGTGCTAAAGGTTAAAATACTGCATTTTCACTTTGCATGTGAATACCTTTTACGTGGTATGTGGAAAATGTCACATATAAATTAATATTATAGTTTGGCATATACTAATGATTGCATACCCATCAGCCTCTGCCTTTCCTGTGAGACAAAATACTAATGTTTAAGATGAGAGATATCAATGAAATTTATTGGGTGGGTCCAGTTTCAGGGGATGAGCCGATATTGTTCTGAAGTGATAATGGGAATCCTATTTCCTCTTGTCAGTAACTAACTTAGGATTGGTTATGGAACTGGTTTTACTTAATGGGAGATAAGAGAAAGTGTGCTGAGGGTTGTAAGGAAAGATTTTCTACCCAGAAAAAAGGAGAGACTATGAAAAAGGTCCTACTCATCCTTCCAGTTTTGGGATTTTATTACATAAGAATATGATGTTTAGACCTATTGCAGCTATCTGTGGTCATGATGGGGAAAAGAGAATCAGAGGAAAATACTGTCCAAATAGAATACTGAATTAGAGAACTGTAGAGCCACCTCCTTCCAGAACTCTTATATGAGAGAATAAATGTCCTCATTAGTCATTTACATCACAGTTATTCAGACAATCTGTTAACTTACATGACAAAAGTATTGTATCTGAAATACACAGCTAAGTATTCTAAAGAACAATTACTTCTGACACATTTAAACAAAGATTTCCACCTGAAGTTTTAAAAACTCATCTTGGAACAGAATATCTATACCTTAATTAGAGTTTAAAACAGAAAGTAATGTGTATCACTTTTATCACTTTGATAGCCCTTACAAAGAAGCAGCCTGAGCAATGCTAAGTCAAAGCAGTCAAAGGAAAAGTTTACTACTGGGTATAAACAATGGAGAAAGAAGAACTCTGAACACACTCCTGAGTCAGAAGAAAATCATTCAAGATCCACCTAATTTTCCAATTGCAGTTATAAGAAACTACACATTTACCACTTTACAGATTTGATTTCCATGATAATGTAGAAGAAATCAAATCGACCAGGAAAGACAAAGATGTTTGGGCAATGTACTTTATGTAAAAACTTTAACAAGGCAGGGCATTTCTTTTAAAAGAAGTTCACTTAGCATTAATTTCATATTCATACATTAACATATTAGAGGCACTAATAAAGTGTTAAACTACCAAAACTTTGATTAAAAGTTTTAAGGAAAATGCTGGAAGTTAGAATATATCTAGATATGGAGATAGTATAAATATAGGTCAAGATAAATAGCAAGTAAATAGCATTTGTTCTGAAACATTTATCTAGAGATTCCCGTAGAACAATGAATGCTTCCCAATCTCAACTGTGCATCAGAATTGCCTGGTGAGCTGGTGTGTGTATGTGTGAGAATTTGTCTTAAATAGTTTCTAGGTTCTGACTCCAAGTGTGAATCAAAAAGTCTCAGAAAAACCCTAGTGTACATACAGGGTCTGGCAGAAGTAATGCCTGCTTGAGTGTGGTTGGTAGGATAATAATATGAGTGTAATAATTTAGTTTTAATTTCAATATTTCACTTAAAATGTCATAAGGTATGCTTGAGTGTGATACTGTTGTTACAAAATCACGTTTATAATTTTGTAGTAAGATTTTATAATAACAAAGGGGTATTATTTGTGCCAGACCCTAATATACATAATTCTAAAACCCCACTACTCATTATATTATTCTACTTTTGTATATGTTCTTATAAATATATAATAATATAAATTCATTATGAAGTTGGCGGGGGGTTCCCAGGATGGTTCTGATGCACAATCAAGTTGTGTAGCCACTGAATCAGAGTAAAAGCTCCTAGAGAAACCATAGATCCTATTATGGACTTGCAATCACCCACCAAAGTACAGTTTTATCCCTGTGAATTACAAAACTAAGGAAAAATATTCACTAAGTCTTCTAACTTAAAAAACTCATTTCTAAAATTTCAAGTTTTCCAATTCCACTAATGATAAATTAGACACAGAGCTGGCCTGATGTTAAGTATTATACATAGAGATAATATGTCCCTCAACGTGATTTATACCTAAACACTGTAAATAATGGTCATTGATGGTGCCTGCTTTGAGAATGAAATGGCATAATTTGGTTCTCCAAACACTGTGCTTTCCAGAATTTTCTGGTGAAGTATTAGTTACCTAATATTATTTCTCTCTGAAGAACACATTTAGTGGGAGGTAACTAGTTAAGACATTTTAGTAATCCGAGATAAAATCATCAATTGCTGGCTACCAATCCATATCTCCCAAATTCTTCATCACATACTTTTTCCCACAAAAGTCTTTCATGAGCAACCCAGTGCATGCCCATCACTTCCTCAGGTATCCATATTTAGTTTTGACTATATTATCACGTACTTCAATTCTCAACTCATTTCTTATATATATATCAAGACTACTGGCAGTAACCATAAATTCCATTTATTATTTATTTCTATGTCCAATTCAATATATAGTTCAAGTCCAATTCAATGGTAAATTTATAATTCCAAATATGAGATTATAAAAGTATTTATAAAGCATTCTAAATATTTTCAAAATCCCTTAAAAGTAAAAGAAATAGGGATAGATATTGGTCTGACAGAATAAGAAGAAAAATAAATGTATATGTATAAAAGTTAGTATGAAAAGAAAAATAATTGGTAACTTTTATAATCTGTAAATCATAAACTACAGGCCTTCCCTTCCATTCGCTTCCATTACACACATTCTGGAGAGCAATGATCCTCCCCTGGATTTTTCCAGGGCAGAACTTGGGTTAAGCATGTGAATGGATTCCTGCATAACAAATCTCACCTCTCCTCCCCACACACACAAGAAATATTCAGACTGAAATGAAGAAGTAGCTTTAAGCCAGAGTAAATTTGCTTCAATTAGTAGTACTAGAATAATAACAATGTAGCTTGCACCTGACTGAATACCAAGCTGGAAAGCACTGCTCTGGAGATGCCACTGCCCTTAGTAACCATACTGAACATAAAGCATGTATTTCCACAGACAAACTTTTCTTCCTGGTAAGTCATTATTTATTCCTATTAGGCTATTGTTTTCCCATGTTTTAATTTGTCTTATTTTTAATTTATTGAATATCTGTATCTGTATATACAGATATAATCTCCCTCAAATTTGTTTAGAAAGATAACATGAAATAATAAAAGTGATTTCATATATGGCAGTTATTGTAATTAATAATAAACTATTATGCTGCTGTTAATAATACTATTCTATCTTATGAAGGTTAGACTACACATTTTATTTTTATTTTTTTCCCATGAAGTACCTTTCATTAACAGTGGTTTGTTCTGTTTGGCTCATAGAGTGTTTTATTTTTTTTCTAAGTATATTTTATTGTTCATGTTATAAGGGTTGCCCCAGTTTTTCTCCCTTTGCCCCCCTCTACCTGGTACCCCTCTTCCCTTCAGCAATCCCCCTATCCCTTAGTTCATGCCCATGGGTCATGCATATAAATTCTTTGGCTTCTCCGTTGTCTACACTATTCTTAACAACCCCCTGTCTACTTTTACCTACCACCTATACTTTTTCAGTCCCTGCTCCTTTTCCCCCAATCTCCCACTTCCCTCTCCCAGCTGATAACCTTTAAAATGATCTCCATACCTATGATTCTGTTCCTGTCATGGTTGTTTGCTTAGTTTCTTTCTGTCTTTTTTGTTGTTGTTGTATTTTTTGTAGATTCAGTAGTTGACAGTTGTTCGTTTGTTGTCTTTTTAATGTTCACAGTTTTGATCTTCTTTTTCTTAAATAAGTCCCTTTACCATTTCATGTAATAAGGGCTTGGTGATGATGAACTCCTTTAGCTTTACCTTGTCTGGGAAGCATTTTATTCTCCCTTCCATTCTAAATGATAATTTTGCTGGATAGAATAATCTACGTTGTAGGTCCTTGCTTTTCATCACTTTTAATACTGCTTGCCAGTCCTTTCTTGCCTACAAAGTTTCTTTTGAGAAATCAGCTGGCAGTCTTATGAGAACTCCTTTGTAGGTAACTCTGCATTTCTCTTGTTGTTTTTAAGATTCTCTCTTTATCTTTAACCTTTGGCATTTTAACTATGATGTGTATTAGTGTGGTAGAGTACACATTTTAAAGAATATGAAAAAAGGAAATCAACACATGGCTTGATAAATAAGTTAATATAAACACAGTAATATTCAAAGATTATATATATTTACCTGCATAAGCATGCTCCAAATCAGTTGTAAATACAAATATAAGTAAAATGACATACATAATTCAAACCCACAATCAACTTCATAAAATAATTCTTCATTTTAAAGACTTAGAAATTTGGCCCTGGCTGGCAT